AAAAAGTATGCCGTCTTTGTGATTGTTGTCATACCGATGTGAGTGAATGTTGAAATGAACATTTCGTCGTTTGTGTTCATTTGAAAACTGCATTGGCTTTTTGGGTTTGCTAGATATGATCTACACTACCACATCAAATTCAAATTATATTTACATTATATTAACCAATTAAATAACGTTTTGCATCATAATACTTTAAACCGAAAGTGGGTAATAATACGAACGTGATTTAAAGTAAACAAACTATGCGGACGGCACGTTTGACTCTTGTTTGGGATTTCTGGACAAGAGGTTGTATTGTAGACACACGAATCCATGGTAACAATAATTGAAAGGAGGTGTTTAATAGAAGGTGAAAATCGGCCCACGATAAATTTTGGATGTGTTAGTGTAAATTTATTTGAACAAAATACGTATTAAAATAACGCTTCATACTTCATATGGACCGCAAGGTTTACAGCAGCGCCCCCTACACTAAAGGTCATTGTTTAGCTCACCTGGTCCGAACGACCGGTGAGCTTAAGCCATGGCGCGGCGTCCATCGTCCGTCCGTCAACTTTTCCTTTAAAACACTACTAGTCCTGAACGGCCAAGTATATTTTGACTAAATTTGGTCTAGAGCAGCCTTAGGGCAAGATGACTTAGTTTTGTATAAACGGTGGGTGTGGCCCTTTTGGGTACAGAGGGGCTGCACTCAACAGAGAAATTTGAGGTTTAAAACTTTAAAATCCTTTTCCTTCTGTACCATTGGAGTTTTTTTTATTAAAATTTGGCCTGGAGCTTTCTTTGGCAAAAGCGACTTTATTTTGTATAAACATTAGGTGTGGCCCCTCTGCACTTTGGCCCCTCTGGATGCAGAGCGGCAGGGCACAAAAGGGGAAATTAAGGTTAAACTCATTAAAATCCTTTTCCTTCTGCACTATTGGAAGGATGTTATCCACATTTGACATGGAGTATCCTTCGGACAGGGGAAAACTTTTGTATGAATGGAGGGTGTGGCCCCTTTAGGTGCAGAGCTGTGGGGCCCTGAAATCCTTATTTTTCTGAACCATTGGAGGTATTTTATGTAATGAGAATGGTTTCCCATGGTTTCTTTATTATCCAGGTGAGCGATACAGGCGCTCTGGGCCTCTTGTTCTCCTTCACATGTGCCTTTAATGGGTCGGTGTTGTAAGAATAAAAACATAATTGCAATTTGCTTGCATATTTAAGTAACATAAACAATTACCTTTACAATAATATATATCAATTGGCCATATGTTATATAATTTTTTGGCAAACTACCATTACCATGTAAATCCGCTCCAATAAATGAACTTTTCAATTTTGGATTTTTGGGTTTATGTAAGAGTATTAACAAGATAAAACGCGGGTTCCATCAGATTTCAAAACTTCACATTTTCTTTCTAGCATATAAAACTTGTGTTGATGATTCACTGGATATGCCAGTTTTTTGGAACTTCTTTTCCGCTAGACCCCTTTGGTTTTTATTAAATATCAAAGTACTGAATATACTGAATCAGTTCTGCCATCTGATCCTAAAAAGGTTTTTGCATAGCGATCAGCAAAACTGTTCTAATTAATTGATTGGAATAAACTCAAAAACAATAGTTTATGTTTATGTACATGGAATGTGACTGAAGTGCCACATTTTTGTGCATTTCATTGAAAATTAATCAATATCGATTCATTTTTTAAATCCTTGGTGAAATCCTTTTTGTTTTGATTATCTCAGAATTAGAGTTAAAAATGTGTTCTACAGTATACAAATGCGATGTACTACATATGTTTATCGCATGAAAACCCACAATAACTGCATGATACACTTTTGTTAAGTATAGTAATCATTCATATTATATAATAAATTTCATATCCGATATATTTTTGCTGCATAAATGCATGACCCGACTCATCAATTTTTATCACTTAATTATCCCTTCAGAGTTTAGTAAACCGAAGGCCCCGATACCCTTAAGGTGACATGAGATATATAGTTTCTATTTTGGAGATCTGCAATGTTTATAATGCTATACTCACAGCGAGATTACACATATAAGGAATAAGTGACAAAAATATGTTCGTGTAAGGCCAACAGACTCAAAATTACACAGACACAAAATCTGTTACCGTGAATGGATACATGTATTCAAAATTTAAAAATCGATAAACTTGAATTCTAGCTTCACATTATTTAAATATCATGACCCCAAGACTTATGGTTCTTCAGACGAAGTATTTTTTAATATTTTACCTTTGTTACCTTGAAAGACGGTCAATGGCATTTTTTAAATAACATTAATACACAATGTAACTATTAACCCAATTTTATTACTGCTCAAAAAACATACCCTGAGGTGTACATGTAATGGTTGCTGCGAAGACCTGTATAAATTTGACCCTATTTACCTTGAATGAAGGTCAATGTGATTTATTTGATCAACACGAAAACAATAATAGGAATGGATTTTGGTTTAAATTTAAAAGTGCGGTCACGGTCAATTGAAACTGAATGATTGTCAGGAAATCTTAGGTAGGACAACCTTCTGTGATATCAGATAGACTTGAGAAACGACTCATGATTGCGAAATCATTTGAAACACCAGCAACTGATTTGATTTTAATTGACCTAATGTTTTTAAGAGGTCGAATACATTCAATTTTTAAAGATGTGTGTGAAAAGAAAGCCTAAGTAGATATTCCTATATTGCATACATTAAGCTCATTGTACCATCAAGATAACAGTCACCCGTATGTGGTGTTTTGTTGCTTTTTTAATACCGAAATTGGTAAATTTAATTTAACCAAGCCCCTCCTCTGCATAATCAACATCTATTTATAAATATATTATCAATCCATGAAATTGTAATCCATGAAACACCAATAGACGCATTTTGTCCCTACGAACTGGCCATACCGTACAAGTTATTAGCTGGGATGTACAGCAAGAGCAATCTGTTTTGTTTGTGGCAGAGAAGGGAAGAAAGCTGGATACGCACAATTGGGCCAGTTCTGAATCGAGTTCAGAAGGCCAATATACTCTCGCACATCTATCACCAGGCATCAAACAAAGTGTAGGTCAATCAATTTGTCGGTTTGATTAATCTTACTGCGCAACAAGTGTTCACACACGTATAGCGTTGCCTAATGGACGGCGATTGTAATGATCAACTCGTGCATATGTTTGCACATTTGTGTGTGTATACATGTACGTTTCACTGGTTATTTTTCTGATGAGGGTGATAACTGATTGTGCTACATAAACCTTCTAAAATCCATACTAACCAACCTGAGAAAAAGGTTCGGAAACGAATGGGTGCATATTTTATGACTGAATCAGTCCTTTTTAAGGTCCAACTGAAGTAATTATACACGAGTCACATTCCTAATGTATACAAAATCTTATTCTTATCTCCCCATAATGCCCCATACTAAATTCTGGTCGAATTAATATCGAAAAATGATGTACACTACTCTTTCTATTATCGTATGACAGTCGTTTAACAACGGAAGATCTTTGTTTTGTTGTGTGTATTTCGTTATATAATACATGAAAGGCAAATGGTGTCCTGGGCGTTCTGAAAATAAATGTAGGGGGCGCTGCAGTCACATTTTGGTTCTATTTGAAGAATAAAGACTGTTTTGATGTGTATTACATACCAGTTAATTCATTTATGCTAAACAGAATTGAATCGGTCGTGAGCCGCCATGCAACTCCTCCTTTCATTGAAATAACATTTATGTGTGAAATTTAACCAGTCAGTGTCGTCGACACGAAAGGAAGCACTCATTAACTCGTTGTCCGTCATTTGTAGACCCTCGGGATCGTGTCCCGTAGATTTATCCCCACTCCTGCTTTGTCTGAAATGTCGCTTTCAGTATCACACGGCTCCAGTACAACGAATGAAGAAAAGTATGTTGTTCATGCATTCATAATGCAGTCAACTAGAAATATAAGTTCCACTCTTTGCAAGCTTAACATTCAACAATTGTTAGTTCAATTTCAACAAATTACTGGATGGCGACATGCTTTCCAACCGCGAATGAATTACGGATTTGTGAATTTCACAAACATGCCTCCGCGGTGTGACGTAATTAACGTGCGATATTAATGAGCAGTAGTGAAAATGTTATAATTGTGCTTTAAATTCATACATGTCAACATTCCAGAGGATATTGGCGGGATATTCGAATATTTCATATCGTAATTACTTTTTAACGACAGATACGCATATATAAGTTTTAAATTGGTTTAAGATACCATTCATTGCGGTTCATGTCATTTTCCTGTAATGCAGTGGACATTCATATTGTCTATGAATGGCATCTAAAAGCAGTTTAATGCTTAAATAAAAAAAAAACACTCGCGTAAAAAAATATAAAAGATAAGCCTCCGGAAGCCGTCGACATAAATTGCTACAATGCATGTTTGATGAAAGCCTTTTTTAAAGTTATCAACTGTCTGCATGATAGAAATGAAATATCGTATTTAAAATAACAATGGTTAACGATTTTGCATTTGCGTTATAGTATACTCCTCCCTAAATTAGTTACGGTTGTATCCAAATCATCACTCAAAAGTATCGGCATTAACCATTGATTCCTCACTAAAGTACTATCCTTATTATAAACAAAAAATCATCTGGTTCTCATTTCCAAACACTACTAGCCTCTCCTTTTTCTACCTGGGACCTTAAATGCTACCTAATCGTATGCAAACCATGTTATCGCCTTTTTCACGTTTGTTCCTCACCATTCCTACATACTCTAGGTTCAAATTGTCGGACTGTTTTCTGTTCATAGTTGCTAAATTGAAAAATACTTTTTATGATAATGTGTCACATAAAATTTCCAAAGTACATGGAATGTTATGTTAGATACCTTACCTGTTGACGGCCAATTCCGGCAATTGTCTATAGCATCAGTTGTTATCAGTAATACGAATACACTTTATAATCAGGGCATTGGTAAGTGCCGATAGGTTTCATTCTACTATACTAACGCTAACAATGACATTCGCGCTACTTACCGTTATCTTTGTTTGAGTCCGACGCCATCTCTCGCTTCTATTATTCTTGTCTCTAATATGGAAAGGCAGATGTCACCTGAAAGACAAAAAATGTCCTAAAAACGAAAACCATACACAACCAGTAATTTTGACATGTCTGTGCCATCAATTCAATTCGAAATGATAAAGTCAAAATTATCTACTTTTTATATGAGTGCCCCGTCGACTTATCGTGAAAATTTGACTTACAATCACCATAACTCAACAAGATTATCATGACAACCTCAACTTTATTACCGCGGCTTATACAGTCGATTTTCAGGATAACCTAACAATAATCAAACAAAAAATCACTCGAAATGGCGAATATGTTCATTATTTAAGATGCATGTGCAACTTTCACAGAATATTTACATACATTCATATTCATATAGGGATTGAATCTGCATTTTTCCAATGTTCATGCAAGTTTGAACGTAACGAAGCGAAGGCCGTTCATGTGAAGTGTGTAAATAAGTTTGTACCCGTTCATATGTCGTGAACACTGGACAAATCCAGATTCAACATCGTTTAAAATTACGAACTTTTTTCATGCATTCATAAATTAAGTATAGTAATATGACGTAACATCGCAATGTCATTTCGGTGATACCAAAACTAATTCACGTGAAAATTTTCCCACGGTCGCTTTATCCGGCTTGAGCAACCTTGTTGATAAAAAACATTGAAGAAACAATGGTTTAATTTGCCAACGAGCTATAACTTTACTTAGGTGATTCTACATAGAGAAAGCTTACAACAGTGAACGTTGAATTCGAATGATGATTACGGAAAGGCCGGTGTTGACACCCGGTTTATGGAAAGCGGTGTTTATAATGACAGAAAATGCAGTAGCTAGACTCGTCACGTTTTTTGTGTCATGGATCATTCATGGATAATATATATAAATGTATGCATGAGAGTGACATTATGTGTCGTAATTCCAACCCCGCTCTTCTCGGGGTTCGGTTGTTTGTAGTCTCGGCCTTGCTATGTGCGGCGTGTTAGGCCTAGTGTTTTCATAACGCGTTCGTTATGTTTGTGGAAAATCATGGATAATACGGTATGTGTGTAAGTCAATTCACCTCAGTTGAAACATTCTCATATTGGAAACATACAGATTAATTCTTTATATCGTCACTATTTTGATCACTGAGCGGACCCATATGTGACGTCGAATTATTGTCAGTTTAAGCTTTGTCAGATTGATATCGTCGGTTCGTCAGACGACAGAACATGTTGTTAATATTGTCAACTTTAGTTTAAAATCTTTCATTTTTAAATCTTTTAATATCTAAGATAAACAATAAGACAAAATACAATGATAAACAGTAAATTGTTTTCACGCCGAGTTTAGTTAAAGCGACGGGAGATAACTCGAACGACAATTAAATTGCTTACTGAAAGTAGTCCGATCGACACAACTGGTTCATCCTAATATTAGCAGCCGTGTTTTGGTCACATGTACTAATATTAGCCAATCACAGAACCTGTAACAAAGCACACAATCCTTCTCCTGCTTCACATTCAGCATATTAAGTACTCACAGCAAGTGGTTTACCAATTGTCAGTATAATGTACAATGAGATTCGGGTGAAATATGGTGATTGGCATTTTAGTAAGGTCGAAGCGCGCTAAAGGCGAACCAAAAAGTTTGAAGCCAGTTCTGTTTAAAGCAGGAAAGTGACCTTCGAAGCGATACAAAAGCTAGATATACAAGAATTAACAAATCTCGTTTACTTAACCATAAAACAATAGTGAACAAGAAAACACACCCATGACGTATTCAAAGATGTATTAAAACAAGGGACATCGTGCTCGTAAGCGGCCAGAAATGTATTAAACATTTAAAAATGCAATTCCTATTCAGTATGTAGTACAAAAATACAAATTCATAGTTCACGCAATGATGATATAAACAATTAAAAAAAACCCAGAGAGAGTGTAGATAAACAAGAAAACAGATATGTAATAGGAGGTCAATAAAAAGTTTATACCGAAATGCACCTAGTGGCAAGAATGCATTTAATAATAAAAATAGCACATATATTGAGTCGAATGAAACCCTACATATATAAAGTCAAAATTTGCGTGGTTAATAAATAAAGCATTGTAAAAATGTGAATACTATAGTTACTCTACTGATGGTATACTGAAAAATATAAATAACATACATATGAGATTGTAAAACAAAAAGAATATGCACGCAGGTAGGAAAAAATCACGAAGTAGAGTGGCTCAGTGAATAGCACACTTTCCTTTCGCAAAGACGAACGGGTTCCGATCCCCCGATTGGATGTGAAAAGGTATGTCTGACAGCTGCCCAACCACTTTGATATTCTCCGCTTAGTTCGGTGTGCTCCAACGTTAACACCCCCTGCGCGCTACCTTCCCGGCTAACAAGAATGAAACATGTAAGTTGTAATAACTTGCTCCGTAATAGTTGCAAAAACAAATTTAGCGTAATAAAAAGGTACAAGCAATTCGTGAAATGTATATCCGCCGCTTGCAGGACATATTGCAGGTTAACATTATTGAGGTTATGTTTAAACACTTTTGTATCGTACTGTTGAGACATAATGTATAGCTTGAAACTTGAAGAAAAAGAAACCCCTATACCTCATCGATTATCCGTAAATATGCACAAATCACATCGGTTGGCAAACTTAACATGAGTTGGATGTGCATAATGAATTTGGTTGAAAAAGATGTATCAGAAAAGGATCACATTGCCATAGTACACCTACAATGTACATACTACATTTGAGTGAAATTGAGCAATTTCTTAATTGCAACCAATCAGAATCATCCGTGTAGTTGCTATGGCAACAACACGTATGCGATTGAATTTGCAGTCCCCTATTACTCCTATATACCAATTTTCATCGAAATCAAACAATATCTAAATTGCGACCAATCATAAGCATCCGTGTGGTTGCTATGGTAACGTCACTTATGCGATTTTATTCGCAGTCCCCTTATACCCATATATACCATGTTTCATAAAAATCGAAAAATATCTAAATTTCGACCAATCAGAAGCGCCTTCATTTGGTTGCTATAGCAACGAAACATATGCGGTTAAATTCGCAGTCCCCTTATACCCCAAGATACCAAATTTAATCAAAATCGAACAATATATTAATTTCAACCAATCAGAAGCCTCCATGTGGTAGCTTTTGCAACGAAACCGATGCGGTTGAATTCGCAGTCCCCTAATATCCCTATACACAAATTTCATCAAAATCGAACCAAGTTTGAAGAAAATCGGTTTAAATTTGTTGTAGTTATTGCACGGAAACGAAGCGTGAAAGACAGGCAGACAGACAGACAGACAAACCCAAATTAATATCCCCCGTTTCGTTGAAAGCGGGGATAAAAAGTAAATAAGAAAAGAGAACACATAACTTATTGTATGTATGTTGTCAACGGAAAAAGTAGGTATCTGCTGTTTTAATTGACTTTGTATTTGCACCGGGTTATGGTTAGGGTACCTCCTTGGTTCACTATGCGTGTTATGTCCTTTTTTATTACAAACATGTGAACTATACAACCTTAGATACATTATATAAGTTCTTTTGAGGTTTTTGAAGTAAAACCAATTTTCATGATGTAATACTTACCATAACTTAAGTATTCATAGACAATACCTACACCCATCTTTGTAGCCAAAAAACAAAAGATTAAAATTATCCGACCTCCATACCGTGAAGTAACCCATCTCTCGACAACGGAGTCACGGAGTGATCTCCCTTCCTCAAACCCCTTTTATGGAGCCTACAGGCAGCCGGGATGAGGAGGCAAGGGGAGGAATACAGGGTGGGACTCCATAAAGTTATGGTAAGTATTACATATCATGAAAATTGGTTTTACTTCAAAAACCTCAATTTCATTTCAGTAATAATTACCATAACTTAAGTATGCGAATTCGTCTTACCGTAGTGGAGGCTTCGAATCCAGGCGGACCAGGCTGACGGAACAAACTCGAGGCATGCTCAAGGTGAGAAAAGGTTCAAGGAACCCCCCTAATAAAGCCCCGAAATTAATTAAAAAATGGAAAATCTCCCCGTGAAACGAGCAGGTGTACCATCGTGGTGCCTGATAGCATACTATATAAAAATCACTGAATTACTGTGGAGGAACAGCCACAGCCTGTGCAACCACCACCGGTCCAAGGGAATACAATCCATCAGAATGAGAAGCCAAGGACCGGAGTAAAATCCGTGAAGGTAGTCTGTCCGCGCCAGAAAGCGGACATGACCTCCTGAAAGCGGAACCCATTGAGGAGAGCTCATGACGCAGCAAGGGCCCTGACCTCATGAGCTCTCACCTTACATAACGCCCGAACCTGATCATCTGAGTGGTCATAACCCTACTTGATGATAGGTCCGTAAACAGCCAAAGAAGGAAGTCCGCAATCACCTGGACCTTCCCTCCGACACACCAATCATAGTAGATCTTCCATCGTGACTGGTAGACGGCAGATGAAGAAGACCTAATTGATCGAGCGATGCGATCTGACACGTCCCTAGAAAAGCCCGCCTGAGCGAGGCCGCCCGAGATAGCTTGCACGCGTGAGTTTGGAGGATCTCCGGACGAAAGTGCATCGTCCTGGACGAGGCTGGCGAAGGAGGTTCGCTCTGAGATGGAGAACCAGGGGCTTTTCCACCAGAAGCGACAAAATCTCCGGAAACCAAGACTGTCTTGGCCACAGGGGCGCTATCAGGAGGGAACACTGATGCACCCGAAACTTCTGTAGCACCCTGCCCACCAAGTTGAAGGGCAGAAATGCATATGCATATGCAACGTTGGCAACTTATTGTTCAGTGAAGTGGTGAACAGGTCTATGTGAGGCCTGTCCCACACCTGACAAAGTCCCTTGAACATTGAGTTGCCACTCCGTCAAAACCGGCTGGCTGCGCCTGGAAAGAATATCCGCCAGAACATTCAACCTGCCTGGAAGATGCTTGACACAAATTGTCAACTGCATTTCATGGCAAAGAAGAAGAATGCGGTAGCGAGGGCACACAGAGTGTGAGACCTGGTTCCCCCTGTCTC